AATAAATTAAAAATAAATAAATTTATATTGGGTAAAGTTAACAAAAATGAATTAATAAACAAATTATACAAAAAATGAATTAATAAAAATTTATATGTCCGAAAGAATATAAGAAAAAGTAATTCATTCAAATTGAATTCGAAAAAAAATCAATTTCAAAATAAGTTAATAAATAAAATTGGGCCAACTCCAATCAAATTAGGACATTCGGCGTTGTTTCCTATACATATTTAACATATGTGCGTCGTTATATGAGCATATTTAACACATGTGTGACGTTATTTAACACATAGTTGTCTCTAGTATTTCAGTGTTACAAATATAACACATAGTTGTCCTTTTGACGTTTTACCTATTTACGCAGTCATACCATGTGATGAAAAATAAAATTTCAGTTGTCCAGTTCATTTTTGAAATTCGTAACACATTTTCTATGATTCTTTACCATCATATTTGCAAAAACACATTTTTCTCAAATTTTGCTTCATAAGGTATATGACATTACCAAACTCTAATCTTGTGAACCAAAAAAGAAAAATCCAAACGTGGGACAAACATAATCAAAGTAAGCCACGTAAATAAGACATGTGTGCCGTTATGTGCCACGTTTTAAGACATGTGCACCGTTATGTAACACATAGTTGTCCCAAGTATTTCAGTGTTACAAATATAACACATGGTTGTCCTTTTGACGATTTACCTATTTACGTAGTTATACCATGTTATGAAAAATAAATGATCTTGAGTCGTAGATTACACGGTTGATTGTTTGGGTTCTTTAAGGTTGGTAAAAATCTGGAATTCAGTCGCCTAACTTTTATTGCATAAGACTTTAACACCTTAATGTAAGCCAAGTCTATTTTAATATATTTTTTGTTTGGTTGTTTATAATTATAACTAGATTAAGCACCCGCATATATGCAGGTTCTATAATTTGATCTCTTATAAATTTTTGGAAAAAAAATATTTAGTTGTACAAAAAAAATTGGAACACCCGTGAAAAAAAGAAAAATAAGTGACAACGTTGTTGAAAAACTACTCATTGAGAAGCATAAAATTTATTTATTAATTTTGATGCTTTTGTTATTTGTTTAGAATTAAATTTTATCACATCTTATCAAATTATTTGTTATTCATATTTAAATT